GGGGGGTGCAAGTGCATGGAAAGAAAAATTGTGAAAGAGAGAGAAAGGTGAGTGGTGAAGAAGAGAAAGAAAGAAATGAGGAGAGAGAATTTGGTTCTTATGGTGTGTGTTTACATATATGTATAAGATATACACTTGTGATTTTTATCTTTCAGCGATGGCTTGATCCACTCAAAACAATCAAGAAACAGTGCAGGGGTAAGTTGATTTTGCTTTGGTCTCCACCCTCGTTTTACGTTTAATTAAAATAAAATCTAATTTTGGTGTTGTGGTTGATTACATACAGTTGAACCTACTGCAATGTCCACTTTACTTTTTAAAAATCTGTACAAATGATCACTCCTGTTCTATCCGCTTTACTCCAAACCAGTTGGTGTTGTACTTACAGTGGTCACATATTCATATATTGAGCCAAGTAAAGAAAAACAACAATAATTTCACTCTAACAAAGAATGTTAGACTCTCTAAGGATGTAAATTGTGTGTGAAAGTGTGTGTGCATATGAGCAAATGCATCTAAAAATGCCAGGTTACTTCAAGAGTTAATTAGAGGTAGACCAAGAAAGTGTTCAAAATTGTAAGAAATTAATAATTGTTAAATAGTTGTTTTGCTTTCTTTTTGTTTGCATGTCTTTGCGGTAACTATGGTGAAGAAAATGAGTTCTGTCCTCTATAAAATTTTGGTTTACCTTATTTTTGAATCTTGCAAAAGATTTTTGAGATATTTGTTTTATTTCATGGGTATGGTGTGAAAGTAAAAGATAATAATTTGTTGATTGATTTTTATTTTGAACTTCAGGTCCTGCATATGAGTTCTTCTTCAGGGTCAAGTTTTATGTCTCTGATCCAAGCAAACTCGCTGAAGAGTACACAAGGTAAGAGCTGCCATTGTGTAGTTGCTACTGTTTCAGGGAATTGGTGCATTTACGTTTGCTCCAGTGCCTGCTAGTCAGTTGGGTATAACTATATTTTATTTATATGTTGGGCACAATGGTGAAATTAGGCGCTCGTCAAAGTAATGAAATAGAAGAAACGAGACATTTTTCTGCCTTTTGGGTAATTTTTATAACTTTTTTGTGTGGACACAACACCTTTTATGTCCATTTAAAAGGGGGGAAGAAATGTGCCACTGAAAGGTATTGATTTTCTGGATAGTTCGGAAATCTGAATTTCTGAAATTGTATGTTGTGAAGTGGAAAAATAATCTTGATACAAAGGTTCTTCTTCTCCTCCTCTTCCCATTTCATCTGTTTGTTCATGTGGCTGTTTCCCAATCACTAAATGATCGAGGGTTTTATTTTTTTTAAACGTCAAACGATAAAATTATCAAAGCAGCTCCAAGTAAAGAACGCTTCTTGAGTCTGCATAACAGTGGGGCCTCCATTTCTTAAATAATTATCGGTGAGTGATTGGCGGGAGCGATGGGGTGGTTTGCTCCGTCTTTCATGTCAAACATCTATCATCCATTTAAATCTCTCCTCCTGTTTTTTTGTATGTTACTCTTTAGTAACACCTCTAATCTTCGAAACCGTATCACTTACTTGTATTGCAAGTGCTGTAAAACTCTTACTAAAACCAAAAAAAAATTAATGGGCAATTTGGTCCAGTGTCTGTGTGTTGTGTACTGTCAGGTTTTTCTTTTATATCTTGTTGAGGAAGAACTATGGTCTCCATCAGCAGTCAGCAGGTAGATCATATCTGTTGTTGGCTGTAATGACTAGTGCATGAAGCATGTTTTTTAATAGTGTTCTTTGTTCTCGCAGAAGCCTCACAATATTTCTCATTTCTGAAGTTGGAGTACACTTGACAACTGCTGTCACCAAGTCTTTGAGAAAAATCAGAAAACTGTATTATTTGGACTTAAGGGTGTAGTAGCTCAAGACTTGAATTGCATCACTACAAAAATACCTTAGTCAGGCCCTGTTTACTGGATGAAGGCTTCTTTTCTTATGACAATACTTTGGTTTTACATTTTTACATTTAGGTGGTTTTTTTTTAAAGTTTAAGTTTGTTTTGTTTTGTAGTAGGAGTCATTATTATATTATAACAATCATTCCCTGTCTTTTTTTTTTCAGGTACCATTTTTTCCTACAAGTGAAAAGGGACATCCTGTCAGGGAAATTAGTATGCACGGAGGCCAATGCTGCCATGCTTGCCAGTTATGCTGTTCAATGTGAGTATTTTAAGTGACGTATATCTCACCTGGTTTTAATCTATGAATAATAATGTTAAGTAAGGCTGGGGTGTTTTCGTATTTTTGTATTTTATAAAGGGGAGTTCTGCTTAGATGAAAGGATTCTGTCAAAGCTGTTGTGTAATTCTGCAATGACTTTTGAATACTTCTAAATTCCTAATTCTCTGTTTGGATATCATATCTAGGCTTAACTCATATCAGAATTGAAATTATAATGTCAACCCTATTCCATGAACTGATTTTGGAGAACATGGTATTTTTGAAAGTCAATAGTGGACAGAGTGTAAGTTGCATCTGTAGCTTTTGGGCTCTGATAAGTTTGTCATCAAGTTTTTGATTGGTTTCTTTACTTTTAAAGTTGTGAATATTTCTTTTGTTATTAACTGACTCAATCCCATATCTCGGTTAGCTCGTGAGCTGCATTCAATCCCCCAGCCGAGATAACTTGGTTTTATAGTTTTGTTCCGTATACTAGTTACTTCATTTTGGAAAACGCCTCAAGTTTTGTATAAGGTCAATTTATTATTTCCAAGGCCAATTCTGCTCAGAGGGGTGCTTGAATTTGGTTTGTACAGTCATTACACAGGAGAAGTAGCTGTTTTTATAAAGGCACTTTCAGCACTTTTGTTCACACTGATCAGCTGAGCATGTCTCGCTATCGATTCTCTCTGCCTTTCTCACACTTACAATTTTTTTTATTCATGAAAGTATTCAACAGTCTTTATTATACATGACATACAATATATAGATTTAGACACTTACAAGCATATTTGAATATCAATTTAGGGTTGCTCTTGCTCATTCGGCCATGAAAAAAAAATTAAAAGCCCCAAAAATGCTAAATTTGTACAATACCCCAAAGCAAAACTACTAAAGCTACGTACTTAAAATTCTATATGTCTGAAGAACCATCTTAGGTTGTATTTTGTGCCAAATTTCAATGCAATTGGATTATATTTATGATTACTAGTGTGCCATTACATAAGTGCCAGAATGGCCGGTTTCTGGGTACAATTTCGGGAAAAACTCCAGGGATTGAATGAGTTAAGCAAATGCTATCATCTAGATAAAAGCTGGCTGAAAATGAAATGGTAAATAATTACCTTGTTTATAGTTTTACTGAAATTACAATGTCAATCCTAGTCCATAAGCTGATGTTGGAGGACATGGTATTTCTGAGAGTCAATATTGGATTTGTGTCTTTCGGGCACTGATAAGTCTTGTCATCAATTTTTTGGGGGGTCTCTTTTCTTATTAAGTTGAAAGCTCCTTTTGTTATTAACCTTTTGCTATCATTTAGACGAAAATGGGCTTCAAATAAAATGACAAATGAGTACCTTGTTTATTGTTTTGACATACATATGATATGTACATATGCACAAGCACACACCGTCCCAGTCAAGTATTATGAAAAATTTTGTCATGCATAGAAGCATCTTGATAAAATGTTTCTACTGAAGTGTCGGAAAGATAAGGAATGTGCTGTTAGATCATTAGTCATACTAGACTGCAGTATGGGGATTCCTGTGAGATTTCCTTTTTGGGGGAATTCTTGAACTTTGTGTTGTTTTCATGGCTCTATCTCCACCTGTTTGGCTTGGTCCCACTAGATATGGACTTATCTAGAGGTATATTTATTATCAGATATACATGTATAATATTTAAATTGCTATTCTATGTTGAATGATGGGAGGTAAGATGTGTGGAAGTGTTAAGTTCGGAGACAAGGGTTATTTGGATGCCTTTGAGAACATACAAGGTCAAGTTAAAAGGAATTTTGAGAAATCTCAGTGGCAGCCTTCCTGGATGAAACATCGCTGTACCCTGAGATATTTCACCGTCATAGAATGACTGGGATCTTGTAGTGATATCATGGTTTAATAACAAAATTTTTTGTCAAAGTATTTTGATTGTTCCAGGTGAACCCTGTTTATTTTTTTAACCTCTGCTTCACTTTCTGTTCCAGCTGAACTAGGTGATTTCAACCCAGATGAACACAAAGAAGGTTACCTGAGTGGGTTTCTGTTTGTTCCAAATCAAAACAAGGATTTTGAAAAACAAGTCGCAGAGAAACACAAGCAACACAGGTCAGCTGAAACCCTCTGTTTTGTCCTTTCCATTTTGCAGCAGAGAATGTCATGTCTCTGGATTTTTATTTGTAATCACAATTGTTGCGAAGATGAATATGCTATTCGAAATTTTTTGTTGTCACCTTGTTAGGCATTTTTCTTGTGATAATGATGATAACACTGGTATGTGCCTATGTGGTGTTTTGTTGGGAGGTCACTGGTGTGTGTCCTTGAGCAAAACATAATGTTAGCTCAAAAACCGGGCGCTGCATAGTGGCTACTAGCAATTTCAAGTTTACTGTCTGTATTAGCATGTTGTTGTGGATTAAGTAGCATGATGTATAATTGTATATACATATTTATGCATCTATGTATAATGTATTAATGCTATTGTAAAACAAACCTCCCCTCGCAGATAATAAACAGTGAATTTCTTCTTACTTGTCAGTTTGTCTGAAGTGGCTTTTTTTCTGTAACTTTTTCTAATTTCCAGGGGACAGACACCTGCTGATGCGGAGTACAATTTTTTAGAAAGGGCCAAGCGGTTAGAAATGTATGGAGTAGATTTGCACAATGCAAGGGTAAGTTGAGATCACATGTTTAATTTAGATAAAGTTGATGCTGTGGGTGGGTTGCAGGTGCTCTGTTATGTTTTGCGCCTTCTTTCCTATCAAACATCTATCATCCTGATCTCTCTCCTTTTTTTAAAAAAAATTTTTTTTTTATTATTATTCTTTTATAACACCTGTAATCTTTGGCACTTATATCGCCTTATTGTATTGCAAGTGCTGTAAAACTCTAAAACAAAAGTTGACAGAACAGTTACAGAAAGGTAATTGTCGTGGAGAAAAATGCTACTTGTTTCCAATTAATCAGCTCTATAGCTGGCTTTATTGTACTAACATATGTTGCTCAAGGCTGGGGGTCTGTTAAGTGGGTATGTTTGTGTCTGCAAGCTTGCTCATACCTTTATGTGGATGTGGTGCTTGTGTGTGTGTGTGTTAGCTATATGTGTGAGTGTATGTGTATTGGCAAGCTCATATGTGACCCTGTGTTTATGTGATGTGTGCATGTGAGTGTGTGAGTGAGAAACGTAAATGTTGGCACTAACATTCTAGTATGATGAAGGATAGATTGAAATTTGACTGTACCGTTTGCAAGTTGTGGGAAAAGAAGGGCACCTCTTTGTGGCCATGATTGGCAAGTTGTAAGATGTTACGTGTGTCTTCATGACTAGAAAGTTTTATCAGGAATTGACTGTAAATTAAGCTTTTCTCCGAATTCTTTTTTCATGCTTTCAGGACCAAAGTAACATTGACATTCAACTCGGGGTCACATCTGCTGGACTCGTGGTATTCCAGAATAACCTCAAGATTAACACATTTTCATGGTGAGTTGTGTTTATTCATTTCTAGAGAAGTTAGTAAAGTAATCAGTTTAGTTATTATTGTTTGATAATCACAGCCATCTTCTTTGTAATTCTCTTTTGAACTGAGACGTTTGATGCATAATTGAAGTTCTAATATTAAATTGCTAATATATATTTTTACAAAAAATCTCTTTATGTTGATTACTATGGATTGTTTAATATTTGTTAGCCGAATGGGATCTCACATGTTTAAAGTAAAAGTTCAAAATGTGCACCATACTGTAGGTTGTTCTCTTCAATCAAAATTTTTAACATGCTATTTTCATGTTTTTGTCTTTTTTCCTCTCAGGGCCAAAATTGTAAAAATTTCTTTCAAGAGGAAACAGTTCTTTATTCAGTTACGGCGAGAGGTGGGTATAGTATAACATTGTTATGTTGATCATGCAGTGTTCTTTTTCCAAGTAGTTGTCTGTTATTTGATTTGCATGAAAGATGCTGCAACAAATTGTTAAAATATCTGATTGACACGGATTGTAAATTTAAGCATTACTCTATCAAATGTCATGTAATACTTTATCAAATGTCATGTGCCTGAAATGCACGGCAGTGTATACTTGTTTAAATGAGTATTTTCTGAGGGCTGATGCACAACACTTATACCCTCCTTCACTTGTTGATGGTGCATTATTACTGTTTTCTTATTTTGATTGGTTGTTGGGGTTGATGTGGCGATGGAAACTTTTGTTACTTTAACAATTTAGTTTGTACCTAATTCAGTTTTGCAACACCTGATCGTTTTCTTAGAATTTTTTTGTACAGATATAGGTATTTCATTTGATGGCCTAAGTTATTTATTGCTCTCTTTTTTTTTCTGGTTTTCATTGTGTTTTGCTGAATCAGCTGAGATGCTGGCCTCTCTCATTATCATTTTGAAGATTACAGAATTATAGTTTCTACAGGAATGAAATGTATACTGATGGTTGTTCAGAATCCCTGTAAGTTTTTTATGGAAGCAGACATAAAGTGTGATCAGTTTACATGTATTTGTGTGATTACTTATTACCCCAGTGTGAGTCACTTTTGAACTTTGAACTTGATGCCCTTACAGAAATATTGCTATTAGATTGTCTTGTGTTGAAACTGGACAGTAATTGTCGTCGGATGTGAGCAAACATGTCTGTCAGTGTGTTTTAACCTCTGTGGTGTTTCAGGTAGCTGATAGCGTAGAGGATAGTGATGGCAAAGGAGAAAAGGCCCAAGTAAACAAGTTTTCACTTTTGTTGCTATATTATTGTCTGGTATCTGTCAGCACAACAGCTTATTGTCTCCACTAACGAGTCACCATTCTTTGTAACCATTTCTCTGCCCCTGCTGTTCCATGGTAATACAGTCGAAATTGTCTAAGACGGCCACCCATTGTCAAGGAGAAAAGTAGATGTCTGAGAAAGATGGATGTCTTGAACGGTTTCAGTATATATAATAATATTAAAAAAAAAGAAAACTCAAGGGAGAAGTGGGAAATGGCTATTTTTACAGTTCATTGTCTTGGACAGGTGGCCGTTGGAGCAGGTTCGATTGTATATGTGTAATGTCGATGGAGGCAAAAGCGTTTTTCAGTTATCATCAATAGCCGTGATTATGCTTGGTGCTTCACAGTGTACCATTCTGTGTTCTAGATTCTTGTCTTCATGTTGTTCCGCTTTTAGTCTTTTGCCGAGGTCGAGTTTTCTTTTTGTTGTAGGCAGGTTAATGCCTTGAGGAACTTATCAGAATTAAGCGTTGCTTCTTTTAGACATTTTGTAGCTTCCAGCAGAAATGGGGAACTGAATGTGTTTCGGCTTTTTGTGTAATGTGCTATTTAACGTTTCATTTGAGTTGTCACTTTATGGAAGTCCATTTATTTCTCTCCCTGACACCCAACTGGATTTCATTTCATGGAGCGATTTTTATTGTTTGTCAATTTGTTCTTCTCAAAGAGTATATGCTTTCACAGTTTTCACCCTTTTCACTGTGTGCTATGTGCTTCTTAGTGTTGAATTTTGGCTCTGCTCTTTTTGTTTTTCTTGTGTTGATTTTTGGTTTCTTTTTCTTTGTGTTAAGTTTGAACTTCACAGTACACCTTTGATTAATCGATTAATCTCTAAAATCAAGGTTTATTTTGCTGAATTATGTCCCTTTGAAGGATTGCATTCTTGGGGGAGAGGGGGAAGAAATGTTTCAGTATGAAGTTGTATTTACTTATTTATTTATTTATTTATTTATTTATTTATTCATTCACTTTTTAGTTAACTTATTTGTTAGTTGATTCATGGCTTTACTATATTTTATTTCTTCTTTTGCTGATTAATATTAATTTGTCTTTTTGTTCTTTTCCTTTTGTCTTCTTCTGTTAACATTGGTTTTGATGATCTTCAGCGATGGTACTATTAAATGTCCTCTTGGTGTGTGCCTGTCATGCCGTGGTTCACTCTGTTGTGTTCTTGATACTTGTGTTTCCGTAGTAATGGTGCCTGGCACACGAATCGACCCATACAGTTCTCATTGCCGGCATGGGCGTTTTGAGAATACGAAGAAAATGTGGAAATTTGCCAGTAATAAAGCAAAGACTAATAAAGAGAAAATCTACAGTTGTTTCCCCCAAGTCTTTTCTTTTGCCACTTCAGACTGCTCGGCGGTGTGAAGAAATGTCTTCCTTTCCTCCCCCTTTTTTCTACTTCACCAGTGTAGTCCCTCCCCACTAACCTAAGGGGTTCTTTGTCCATTCTCTGTCATGATAAAAAGCTAGAAGAACTTTAAGAATGTCCAGCGTACTCACATGTTATCTTTCCCCTGAGCTAATGTTGTAGGTTTGGCATATGCTTATGTATTAATGCAGTTATTGGTTACCTGTTAAATACAGGGGTGTATTGTTTGCTTGATGTCGTCATCTGTTTTTTGTTGCTGTTGCATGAATCAAATTGTAATATTTCATTTCCAGCTCGCCTTGGGCAAACAGGCCATCTTTTACATCCATGCTGACATAACTAGCAGCAACTTGCATACCTTTTCATTATACCACGCATAAACTTTTAGAAATGTAGTATGTTCATTTACACTTATATCATTCTTGTAAAGAAAGTTCATAACACTGTTTGATGTGGTTTCCTGTGAAATGATATTCCTCAAATATACTTATAGTCAAATTTTAGTGCTTCACACATTCTTTACACCAGAAAATATGTCACTGGTAGCTCTGGTATCATGGGTACCTATCATATTGAAGGGGCCAAAAATCCTGAACTTTGTTTGTGTCTGGGTGTATGCTGTTTCAGAGTCTGTCCAACTCGTCTTTCTGCTGTTCGTTTATTTTTAGTGCTTCTCATTGTAAGCAGCGTCATGAAAATCAATTTAAAAATGGAAGAGTGTGGGTGGTTGGCGGGTGCTCTGGTGTGGTTTGCTCCTTCTTTCCTATCAAACATCTGTCATCCTTATCTCCCCTCCTTCTTTTTTGTGTATCTTACTCTCTTGTAACTCATAATCTATTCTTCGGCACTGATATGACCTTGTTGTGTTGCAAGTGCCGTCAAATTCTTACTAAAACTAAAAATGGAAAAGTGATATGCTCATTGCGGTCTCCAGGATATATGATTAAAACATAAATTTACAAACTTGGTTGTTTTTTTTTTGGTTTTTGAAAGTTCCTTAAACTTTGAAGTATGGGGTCCTGAGATGTATGCAGAACTTAAAGAAAAGAGGTTTGAGTTTATGACGGTTGTCCTAGGTTACATCATAGCTCTCCTAAATTCATTATCCACAAGGTTTTCTTATTCATGTAATACTTTGTCAGTGTGTTTAACCTTTTCGTAATTTAAGTTAAAGCCCCCATGAAGTTTTGAAAGTGTAGATATTTAGAATGTTCAAATTCGATTTACAGGCTCATGTGTCTTCAGCTTTTCGTCATATCTTTTGGACAAGAAGTGCATTTTCTCTCCTTAGTGTTTTGTGGTTCTTTGTATGAATGTCCTTTTTGTTTTATATTTTCCTCAGAACGAACCTGTGGAGAACCTGATAGGGTTCAACATGGTGAGCTATCGCTCTTGTAAGAACCTGTGGAAGTCCTGTGTGGAGCACCACACGTTCTTCCGACTGCATCATCCGCACCCGCCCTCCAAGAAGATATTTTCCATGGGATCAAAGTTTAGGTATAGGTAAGTCTGGGCTGCTTTTATTGAAGTGCCTTTCTACTAATGCTTGTTATTTCACATGTCTGTAGTTACAGTGGGAGGTATGGGGAAGGAAAGGAAGGGTCCCTGAGTTGTTCTGCATCTATACGTATTGGTTGTTCCAATAAACAATGCAAGCTTAGTTGCTCCAGCCGTGTACTGTAAAAGATGTTAGGACTCGTAGGTCCTGCTTCATTGTACGTGTAATATGTAAGTAGAAGATTTAGAATGAAAATTTTTTTCGTCTTTGGTCCAGCCTCATATCTGAGCTGCAAAGGTCTCAAATTTCACTTCTAAAGTCCTTTTTGACAAAGTAGACCATGGCAAACGGAAAGCTGGAGGTGAATGCAAGGGTTATAAGGTTCAGTTCTTCATAACAATATTACATGTTCTAGATCCTAAAGGAAGTTTGCAATAGATGCCTCAAACCACAGTACAACTAAATTTTTAATTTACTGTAGCCCAATTTCCTTTTAGATTGTGGTGTCTATTGCCTCTTAGGCAGCCTTATGCAGATTTCATTTGTTGTTATCTTAATTTATCCTGATCACGGTTCAAGAGTTGAATGACCTATTCTCCTCCGAAGAAAAAAAAAAAGAAAAAGAAATTAGGTAAAATCAATCGTTGGCTGACCATGCCTGCACGTTCCCGGATCGAAGTAAGTGCTGTGGCACACTTTACCTCACTCTACCCCCTATAGGAATGAGCACAGATACTGGAGTGTTACAGCACCAAAATGCCTCAGACTTTCTTTTATGCTGCATTGTATCATTGTGTGTAGTGTTGGCAATAGTTTTAATGTGGGTGCATAGGCTTTTTGTTGTGGCAACTTCAGAACCCTGCAGGGGAAAAAAACAACAAGTTAGAGTGTAGTTTTATAGACAGAGCATTGATGATAATGTTTCAAGTTGATGGCGCTTCACTTCAACACGAACTTGTCAGAGTCTAAAATTCAGTCTGTTCCTGAAGATTTGGTAGAATGCCGATGCTTTTGCTTTAGATTGGCTGGAGAATGATAGACTATGCAGTTAGAGTAGTATGTGAAGAAAATGTCATTACAGAATAGCGAGTTTAGGAAGTGCCTTTAGAAAATTTTGTTACTGTAGCATGTCACCTGTTCTTTTAATTAAGATTGCTTAGATTTGATGGTTGCTATTTTCTGTTTTGACTAAAGATAATTTTTATTATGTTTGTTGTGGTTGTTTTGTCATTGACGGAAAAATAGAAATGGTTGAAAATTGGTGCAAACTAATGAATTTATTTTTGTGGAAGATTGAGGGTTAAAATGTTCTCTTCTGCTCAAAATTTGTAAAATGTTTTTTTTCCACGTCTTCAGTACAAATTGATGTGATGGGAAAACATGAAACTGGTTTGTCAGTCCCGAATATTATAGAAGGAATCTCTTCAATCGAATTTGCTTCTTTTTCAGTTCTCCGTTCAAAGAGAAAGTATGTTTTTAAGTGGGACTGTGACCCCATGTTGTCATCTGTAAAGAAACTGAGAAAATTTGTGGAGTCAGGACCCACAGGTTTAGAGGGGAAAGTTGGCTTGTGGTTATTCCCTGTTGGTTATTCAGTTGTACAAGTTTACCCATCATCATGTACTTTGAAACATTTTTTATGTCGTTGAATTATTGTCTGATTTTTTTATTCGTTTTTTGTCCACGTCAAATGCCCTCCCATCCTTCAAACTGAAAACACTCCCCATCAAAATATGAGATAACTTTGGTAAGCCAGGTGACTTTTGGTTGCCCACCCCCACCCCACCCCACCCCTCCCCACTGTGTTGTCTCCCTCGGTTTGCTTCTGGTGGGCCAGACTCCAAGTCAAAACAGTTTATTTGCTTTTTGATTTGAAGCCGAAGAACCACTGTGATCAGTTTTGACCACCACAGTCCATTTGCTTCGTGCACCTTGTGTGTTTGTTTTGTTTTGTTTTGGTTTTTTTTCCTTGTGTTTTCTGTTACAGTATGTGAGATGTTAGTAAATCAATTGTTTTTATATTTTTTTCTCTCCTTCTAGGCCGACGTTTGGGTGTTCATTTTAAGTGTTGCACTTTATTTTTTTGTTTTTACTCTTGTTTTTGTTCTTGTGTGTTCTTGATGCTAATCAACAGTGACTATACCCAAATACTCCATATCATTCATAATCTCATAATAAGCCCTTCTTAACTGAGTTCCCTGTTTTTCTTTCTGTTCCTGGGTTCGCTGTCCTCCACATTTTTATATCTACCTACTAGACAAATTAAACCCATGGGCCAGCTAAAAGAGGGAGGAGATGTTGTAGCCTGTGACCTCCCATGTTTTTCACCATTACTTTAGTTGTCAGATTTTAGGTTGTGTGTCCTTTTGCACATCATGTCTTCCCCATCAGTCAAATCATATTGGATGTCCTGCTCAGTTTATGCTTGTTTGCACACACACACACACACACACACACACACACACACACACACACACGCACACACACACACATTTCCAACTAAAACAGGTGAAAAGTTATTTTTACTCCTTGTTCAAAAATGTTTTCATGAACACTGCTCGATATTTCGAACTCATTTTCAGATATACAAATATGTTCACGCTTGAGTTGACAGTTTCTGCTAGGTATGATGAAGACCAAATGACAAGATAGAGATTAGGATAGGCACCATCAATACGGAAATTTGTGTCAAACAGCATATAGAAAAACAGGATCGTAGGAGGTAAGGAACACACGATGAAAATGACGGCAATGAAGGTCACCATCTTGACAACCTTTTGATCCTTGACCCCAACTCCTTCCGCTGCACGGTCACCCTTGGCAACAGTTGCCTGCCGCCATTTTGTTTTACTATTGAGTTTGACGACAAGCACGATGGTACAGCAGATGACGAAGACGAAAGAAAGCGTCGTAGTAAATACGCCTTGGGTGAGATACGTAATGGCTTCCAGCAGTTCTCTCTCGGCCGTGTACGTAGTTTTTGATACTGTAGCATTCACGGTGAAATCGAAAACCCATTCAAGTCTGCTTCCAAGGCAGAAGGGAATAAGTAAAATGGACATGGTGATGTAGATGGAGATAATGATTATCTTTGTCCTTGCAGGTGTGATGATCGTCTTCACCTTCAGAGGGGCAGCGATACACAGACATCGCTCGAAGGTGATAAAGGCGGTGATAAAAGTCGCGATTTTGACAAAGAGGTAAC